AACATAAATAAAAATGTACTCACAAGTGAAGTGCAGGCAAACTGCACTGTGATGTCAGCGTTGGTGGTATGATCCCCACCTCGGATATACTTGGAGTCACATGAAGGTAAAAGGAAGCCAGGTTAAAAATTACAAATAAAAAAAGTGTATTAAAAAGATGATTGGCACAAAATTATAACCAAAAAGCCTTTTATTTAAAAAAAATACACAATCAAAATAACCATAACGCGTTTCACCACTAGGGCTTTATCAAATGGGTTAGAGATTAGAACCTGGCTGCTCACTCAGACTCACCCGTTACTCACCGCTGTACGCCGTTCACACCAGAGCTGGCTATAACTCTTTTAAATGTGAGTTGATTGCACATATTTGTTTATTTTACCATATTGGCTTTTATATACTGCACCATTGGGTCTCCTCGTTTTTTTCTTGCATATAAGCGGGACGGTTGGACCACTAGGGACACTGAGGACTCTACACCCAAAAACAGGCACCTTATAAAGATACTTACTTCTGAGTGAGACCTCAATATTATCGGACTTTACCTTCAGTTACTCCATCAGAACTTTAGTCCCATCATATCAGTGAGACCAACTACGTTATATTGTCCTACCTATTCAGACGAACGATTGTACCTTTTCACTATTGGCGCAGCCCTTTTCCTGTGTTTCTTTGTGTTCCATGTTCTCCTCAGAGGGTTTGAGGGTTACCTTCTGTTGGGGCTGCTGCCTACCTTGCTTAAATTTTATTAGCGCAGACCCTTTTCTTATTTCTCTAACACCTAATGCCTGCCCTTATGAGATTAATCCACTTACTTGGGAAATACTTCCTTACTGGGACTCTCTGCAGGTCAAGGCTAATAGGGCTCTAGAATGGGGCACCTGTGATAGGAAGGGGTGCAAAACCAAGGAGTTGGCCTGGACTCCCAAAAATATAAATAAAACCAAGAGGGCTGCACTCACCTGAACATGCATACATGATAGGGGGCTGCTGGGGCCAAAATACACAACATGCACAATCCAAATACTGAGCAGATCTCTTAGACTCGATGATTCAAAGATCATTTAAAATTTCAATTTGAGAAGTGTATCGTCATTCTGTTTTACTCAATTAATTAACTCATTTTGTATCCAACTATTAATTCATTTTATTTAATAATTGATACCTTGTTTTTTTTCACATGGTTTGGCAGAAAAATGAAAAAAAATGTCCTTAACACTTATTCTAACAAATGTATCCATTGTTTCATTCACTGCCAAGCAGGTGACATGACAAGTACATCAGATGAAGCTGATTCCCATATTCGTCAACACATCACAAAACAAATTATGTGCATAGAAAGCAGTGAAATATTTTCATTTTTCCGGATTCTACTCCAATCTCCCAGCTACATGTCCAGGCGATGATCTCGGTTTGTGGCAGGATGATTTGTGAGACAATATTTGGATACTGAGTAGTTAAATAAGTCCAGCAACAGGACAATATCTGTACTGAGCCAGATTCTGAAATAACGCACTAAAACTAATTATAGGCATTTATTTCGATTTATATAAAGATTGCAGGTGGAATGGCCTTCATTCTATTATTAGTAGTAGTATTATTATATCACAGTGCTTTATAATATTAGAAAGGGGGCAATTTACAAAATGTTGAGAAAGGTATCGAAGGAGACAGAAAACAAACAAGGTGAGAAAGTAGCAGAACTGGCGGTGCGAGTGTTGTGGCCCATTAGGAGAGAGGGACAGGTTAGTGAAATAGAAGTCACTCTGGGAGGCCACTAGCTTTTCTAAAGAGATGGGTTTTGAGGGATTTCTTAAATGATTGCAGACTAGGGGAGGGTCTGATGTGGGTGGGAAGGCTGTTCCATAGTGAGGGAGCCACCCGTGTGTCACATCCTGTTCCTCGCTGCGGATCATTCTGGCAATGGCCTCTGGTATCCAGTACTCTTTTTGCTGTCCTTGCTTGGTTTTTCTGGTTTTCTGGTCTATGTCTGGTTTTCTTTATTTCTGGGTTTCTATTTCAGTTCTCTTTAGCCCTGTCTGTGTTCAGTTGTGATTTTCGTGCTTGACCTTGGCTTTGTATCTGACTCCGTTTATCTCTCTATCCCTGTTTTGTCTTGTTTGCCGGCTTACTGTCTACTGGCTAGTTTTTGTTCTCGCAGTCTCTTTGTTCCCTTGACTCTGTCTAGTCTCTGCTATACGGCGAGTCCAGCCATTCTAAGGTTCAGTAAGACGTATCTGCTCTGTCGATTGTTGGACTAAATCTTGCGTGTTGGGGTAAACTACCGTGACATTACGATAGGGCCATGGACCCCGCAGATTTAAGTCAGCAATTGGCTTCTCATGAGGCTAGATTTACAGAGCAGGATCACTGTATGGATCAGATAGCTCAGGCCCTCCAGACACTCTTATCTAGAACTACTCCGGTAACAGTACCAGTCTGAAAGTACTGATCTCGTCAGATCTCAGAAGCCATCCAGACTTGGGCCTGGTTAGTACTTGTATGGGAGACCAACTAGGAACCTCAGGTGCCTGGGATCTGCATAAGCTGATTCAGGGTTCTGGCTGTGGCTGCACAAATGCTGGTGCTCAACACCAGGGGGTGTGCGGTTACCCTGCACCAGACCCTGCTAATCCACCTCCACACTGTGACTCCTACTCCGAACACCAGGCATACATGGGTCCAGGTCCATGCACCGCTGCCCGGACAGTGTCTGGGTCCCGGGCCCTGGACCGCCACCCTGACAGTATGGCTGTAGGCACTTGGAGTTCGTGGAGTGGACTTTGCAGTTTTCCATTCATGGCCCTTTTTCATACGTATGAGATTGTACGCACCTCTAAGGTCCGGTTTAGTAAACACAGTAGCTTGTTTAAGCCTGTCGAATAATTACGTGATTAATGTTATAGGGTAAGCATTTTCTATGGTGATTTTATTCAGACCCCTAAAATCAATACAAGGTCTTAAATCGCCCTCCTTCTTCGACACAAAGAAGAACCCTGCCGGAGAAGAGGATCTCCTAATAAATCCATTTTGTAGAGATTCTTTAATATATTCCTCCATGACACGGTTTTCTTGAGGAGACAAAGGATACACTCTGCCTTTGGGAGGTATAGTGCCAGGCAGTATATCAATAGCACAATCGTAGGGTCTATGAGGCGGTAATTTTTCAGCCTCCCTTTTATCGAACACAGACTTAAGACACATGTACTGAGGAGGTATAATAGTAGACAAAGGAGGAGTAGTAGGAACATTAATAGAATTTAAAGGGGTGATTTTAACGATACAAGACTCTTGGCAGGTTTCACTCCAAGATACTATTTGTCCTGACTCCCAGTCAAAAATGGGATTATGAGAACGTAACCATGGGTACCCTAACACAATGTGAGAGGAAGGAGAGGTGCTGACCTGAAACCGAATGGTTTCTGAGTGTAACATCCCTGCTGCAGAGCCTCCCGATTCAGCTCCTGGGAGGTCTGCTTAATTACCTGCTCTCCTAGTTTTGTCTTGTTTTCATGTATGGTGTCTATTTCTAGTCTTGCCTTGTTCTCCTAGTTTGGTCTTGTTTTCTTGTATGGTGCCTTGCTCTCCTAGTCTTGCCTTGCTTCAGTACTGGATCGTAATGTCACGGTAGTTTACCCCAACACGCAAGATTTAGTCCAACAATCGACAGATAGAGCAGATACGTCTTACCGGACCTTAGAATGGCCGGACTCGCCGTATAGCAGAGAAAAGACAGAGTCAAGAACAAGCCGAGGTCAAGGGAACAAAGAGACTGCGAGAACAAAAACTAGCCAAGGTCTGGTACACAGTAGACAGTAAGCCGGCAAACAAGACAAAACAGGGATAGAGAGATAAACGGAGTCATATAAAAAGCCAAGGTCAAGCACGAAAATCACAACTGAACACAACAAGCGCTACAGGGAACTGAAACAGAAACCCAGCAATAAAGAAAACCAGACATAGACCAGAAAACCAGAAAAACCAAGCAAGGACAGCAAAGAGAGTACTGGATTGCCAGAATGATCCGCATTGAGGAACAGGATGTGACACCGTGAGAGTGAGGGAGCCGCCCATGAGAAGTCCTGCAATCCGAGTTAGCAGCAAGGGAGGAGAAGGTCAGCTAATCCTTACCTGAGTGTGGGTTTGTTTGTACCCCCTATTACTAAACTGTAACACAAAAACATTCAAATGAATGATTTTTCTTAATGATGAACTGATTATACTGATTTGAGAAAAACTGTTCTAATATCCGCCAATGAGAGGTTTGCCTGTGCTCTATATTATTGTTGTAATAGAGCGTTAACAGAGCTGGTGTGAACACAGAGTTGCTCAGGCTATATGTGAGTCCATCAGTGATGTCACGGTCTATCTGTGGGTAACATGGGAAGCTTATTTTATGAAACATGTGTTGACAGGCTGCGTGAATCCCACTGCAATCCCAGAATGTATCAGATGAGGCATCAGTTCAAACATTAATTTCATTCAATTCCCAGCTTTGTGAAAAGTCTTTGTAGTTACCTGAAATATTGTGTTAATGTCACCAAAACATACTGAATCCAATCTGCACGGGAATTCTTGTCACTAAAATTCTTTAACAAATACAGCTCTGAATAAATAAGCATATTATTGTGTGATGAATACATTGAAATCAGTGTATTAAAATGAAAATAATATACATAATTCACTACAGATGGATGATAGTCAGGACAGAGCTCGTATTATTAAGTAAGAAAGAAGAAATTTAGGGCGTGATTAGAAAAATCCACATCCACGCTGTTTAACACTACATCAGAGACATCAGGGATTTTATTAACAATAAATATTACTAACAACAACTCCCATAATGTGCAGGGTAGCGTTAGACAGTTACACAGAGCACAGCATCATTGTTACAGCACAGTATTAATCATTTCACTGTTAGCGATGAGGGTACCATACAGGGAGTGCAGAATTATTAGGCAAATGAGTATTTTGACCACATCATCCTCTTTATGCATGTTGTCTTACTCCAAGCTGTATAGGCTCGAAAGCCTACTACCAATTAAGCATATTAGGTGATGTGCATCTCTGTAATGAGAAGGGGTGTGGTCTAATGACATCAACACCCTATATCAGGTGTGCATAATTATTAGGCAACTTCCTTTCCTTTGGCAAAATGGGTCAAAAGAAGGACTTGACAGGCTCAGAAAAGTCAAAAATAGTGAGATATTTTGCAGAGGGATGCAGCACTCTTAAAATTGCAAAGCTTCTGAAGCATGATCATCGAACAATCAAGCGTTTCATTCAAAATAGTCAACAGGGTCGCAAGAAGCGTGTGGAAAAACCAAGGTGCAAAATAACTGCCCATGAACTGAGAAAAGTCAAGCCTGCAGCTGCCACGATGCCACTTGCCACCAGTTTGGCCATATTTCAGAGCTGCAACATCACTGGAGTGCCCAAAAGCACAAGGTGTGCAATACTCAGAGACATGGCCAAGGTAAGAAAGGCTGAAAGACGACCACCACTGAACAAGACACACAAGCTGAAACGTCAAGACTGGGCCAAGAAATATCTCAAGACTGATTTTTCTAAGGTTTTATGGACTGATGAAATGAGAGTGAGTCTTGATGGGCCAGATGGATGGGCCCGTGGCTGGATTGGTAAAGGGCAGAGAGCTCCAGTCCGACTCAGACGCCAGCAAGGTGGAGATGGAGTACTGGTTTGGGCTGGTATCATCAAAGATGAGCTTTTGGTGCCTTTTCGGGTTGAGGATGGAGTCAAGCTCAACTCCCAGTCCTACTGCCAGTTCCTGGAAGACACCTTCTTCAAGCAGTGGTACAGGAAGAAGTCTGCATCCTTCAAGAAAAACATGATTTTCATGCAGGACAATGCTCCATCACACGCGTCCAAGTACTCCACAGCGTGGCTGGCAAGAAAGGGTATAAAAGAAGAAAATCTAATGACATGGCCTCCTTGTTCACCTGATCTGAACCCCATTGAGAACCTGTGGTCCATCATCAAATGTGAGATTTACAAGGAGGGAAAACAGTACACCTCTCTGAACAGTGTCTGGGAGGCTGTGGTTGCTGCTGCACGCAATGTTGATGGTGAACAGATCAAAACACTGACAGAATCCATGGATGGCAGGCTTTTGAGTGTCCTTGCAAAGAAAGGTGGCTATATTGGTCACTGATTTGTTTTTGTTTTGTTTTTGAATGTCAGAAATGTATATTTGTAAATGTTGAGATGTTATATTGGTTTCACTGGTAATAATAAATAATTGAAATGGGTATATATTTGTTTTTTGTTAAGTTGCCTAATAATTATGCACAGTAATAGTCACCTGCACACACAGATATCCCCCTAACATAGCTAAAACTAAAAACAAACTAAAAACTACTTCCAAAAATATTCAACTTTGATATTAATGAGTTTTTTGGGTTCATTGAGAACATGGTTGTTGTTCAATAATAAAATTAATCCTCAAAAATACAACTTGCCTAATAATTCTGCACTCCCTGTAGTTGTGAGCGAAGGTTAAGTTCCTTTCACATTACGCATGTCCACACCTGAGGTGAAAGGGGAATTAGGGAAAGGGAATACAAAGTTGTTTTTTCAGCACTATAGTACCCTATAGTCGCTGTTACATTATAAATAATTCAAGATGATCATTAGTAAATGAAATACATATGTTGGGATTTTATCAAGCAATATTAATTACAATTACTTTTTAATTTACATAGGCAACAATTAGAAAGCTGGTAGACTGGAATAAAAAGTTATCACATCTCTGGGCACAATATGTCTACGAATACAGTAGAAATATTGACATTAGAATGCTGGGCAGCGAAATTGCCAACACACAGGGCAATTAGTATTCCAGCAATTTGGAAGTGTGGGCATTTTATAATGCCTGGCAGGTAATATGTTGGTACACTGCAATTTGGGACACATTAGATTCCGAGGCTGGAACATTCAAACTGTTTCCCCACATAGGTCAGACTATACTTACTATTTGAATTGTCATAATTTGTTAAGATTTACCCTAACTGTCATAGCACAGGGCAACACAACAAGCCTGGACTTAAAGAGACTGTAAAAGCTAACAGTTACTCCTTTTTCTGGACTGGCTGACATGTTCTGCTTAGGGCTAATTTTCTTTTGCAAATGGTCAAATAATGGTGCTTGAATGTTTCCTGCAATAAATACCTTTTAGTGTGTTACCTGGGGGGAGATTGGGGATAAATACCTGAAATCTGATCAGCAGCACCCTTCTTTAATCTGTCAACTTTCTAAACAAAACCAAACAGACAGATATAATTACGGGCAATAATCTCCCCTGACTGCTGTACATATTAACCCAGACACAGAAAGTGAACACTTAGAAATCTGTCCTACTGTAAACCCATAACCTTATAATTATTGAACAGTTAGATTAGTGCTTTCCTTTACTTATAACAAGATTAAATAATCTATGAAAGCTTTAGCATTGATCTACATTTTCTCCTTACAATCATGTATGTAGGACTTACACAGAGGGTGCATGAAGCCATGGGGTCTCCAGGACCCACTGATAACCAGAGATCTATTTCACCGATTCTTCCGATTGTATAACTCGATGCTGTGTGTGATGTTAAAAGTGATAACCATGTTTTTCATTCTAGATGTCCATAAGCAAAAGAACTTCAGAGATTAAAACTGTTAGTGGGACTCTACAAACATCTGAAGATATTTATGTGTGAAAACAGAGTCCTCTTTTTTTCATTTGTCAAAAAATACAGATTTTAATAGACATTGCAAATTTAAAATTAATCTAGTTACACCCCCTGGCTGTCAATCACACAACCAGTCCTGTTAATTCACTAAACAGTGAATTTTAATAAATGTATTTATTATCTAGGCGGTGGAGTTTCCCTTTAACCCTAAGGACCGTTGACGGTTCAGGACCATCATTGGAACATCCCCTTGAGGACTATTATTTACTTACCTGATCGCCACCATTGCTCCCCGTGTGAGGAGACTGCCTGACAGCCCAGAATGTCCCCCTTCGGCGAATTAGGCCCCCGTGGCCATGTGATCGCTCTAACAGAATGGTCACATGGCCGCAATAGAGGTCCAAGTATCTGCCTGCAGGGGGACTGTCTGTGCCCCTGCAATCAAAATAATACGAAATGTATATATATATTAACAGAGCGGTCACATGGCCGCAATAGGCATCCAAGTAACTGCCAGTCTCCCTGCATGTGTAAAATGAAAAAATGTAATTGTTAATAAATAAACAAATATAATTATATACGTGTATATACATTATATCTATATATGTCTATATATCTTACATATATATAATGTCATACTAAGTGTATTTTTATATTAATATATACATATATTAATATAAAAATACACTCAGAATTAAATTACACATGTATATATATAATATATATAGCTATATATATTGTTTATATATTATTATAAAATATAAATAAGTAAATTAAAATAAATTTAAAAATGTAAAAATAATAAAAAAGTTTTTTTAAATTATATATATATATAAAATGTTATTCTAACAGTATTTTGATATTAATAAATATAATATTAATATCAAAATACACTTACAAAATAAAATTACAGAAATAATTTCATAAATATACACGTAGACTTCAAATATATAAATATGCATATATATTTAAATTCTACGTGCGTATTTATGTAATATTTTTACATAATTAAGTAATTTTATTGATTGCCATTTGAGGGACCTGCCTGACAACCCAGGCCGAAAGTCCAGAGAATTTAATTTGCTATCACTGTGTTTAACCCTGTAGCTTTCTATGACACCTTACAACCTGTACATGGGGGGTACTGTTTTACTTGGAAGACTTCGCTAAACACAAATGGAGTTTTTTGCATTTTTCTCACACAAACGGCACTTTCACTGAAAATATAATTGTTGTGATATGTTTTACTGTTTTTAAACACTAATATTTGTGTTCAGCAAAGTCTCCCGAGTATAACAGTACCCCCCATGTACAGGCTTTATAGCGTTTTTGAAAGTTAAAGGGTAAAATATAAGGGTCAAATTTTTTTACATTGAAAATGGCCAGGTTGGTTACGTTACCTTTGAGTGCGTATAGTAGCCCAGGAATTAGAATTACCCCCATGATGGCATACCATTTGCAAAAGAAGACAACCCAAGGTATTGCAAATGGGGTATGTCCAGTCTTTTTTAGTAGCCACTTAATCACAAACACTGGCCAAAGTTAGTGTTCATAATTGTTTTTTTACATTTTTAACACACAAACAAATATAAATGCTAACTTTGGCCAGTGTTTATGACTAAGTGGCTACTAAAAAGACTGGACATACCCAATATTAAATACCCTGGGTTGTCTACCTTAAAAAAATATGTACATGTGGGGTGCTATTCAGAGATTTATGACAGATAACAGTGTTACAATGTCACTATAGATAAATTTTAAAAATATCTATTTTGAAACAGCAATTTCTTACTTGTATTTATAGGCCTATAAAAAAAATAGCAAAAAAGCATGTAAACACTGGGTGTTTTTTAAACTTAGGACAAGATTTTGAATTTATTTAGCAGTTTTTTTTATTAGCTTTTGTAGATGAGTAAAAGATTTTTCAAGTAAAAGTCAAAAAACTTTTTAAAAAAAATTTTTCACCATATTTTTTTTTTTTTTTTTAAAGTAAAGTAAATAATGGTATGTCAAGAAAGCCCTTTTTGTCCTGAAAAAAACAAGATATATCTTGTATGGGAACAGTAAATGAAAGAGAGGAAAATTACAGCTAAACACAAACACCAGAAAAAATGTTAAAACAGCCCTGGTCCTTAACGTACAACATGGCAAAAACAGTCCGGTCCTGAAGGGGTTATTATTGTAAAAAAGATATTAGTTTTATTGACACTGCATTTGTGGAGCCACCAAAACATATTGAAGAAATGATCTTTCTGTCCCTCACATAGAATGGAAGAGTTCCTATCATATTCTTCATAACTTTGGGATTGGTGTAACTCCCATAAACCCTTCTGTCCACATCCACCAGATTGTCTAACTGGGGCTTCCTGACAGTTTACTAATCTTAATGTGAACCTTTTATTTTCTACTCACTGTATGCAGAACATCTTAAATGCAGATAAAACTATGTTAGAAATACTAGGAGAATTTGGTGAGATTGGGAAGAGAATGTTCCTATATCTTTTCCAGGCCCTCCCTGTACCGATTTGGCTGCGGAATTTTTAGAATACTTCAATCCCATATTGACAAATTCATATGAGCCAACAAAAGAGCCAGAATCAAACATCAAACTCTGTATGTCCCCAACAGAGCTGGTGGACTCGGACTCCCGAAATTCACCCACTACTTTCACGCAGAATCTACACGCACCATATGGAGTTAAAAGATGAGTAGACATGGAGAACACTATACTAGGCTGGGACTTTCCATCGTTGTATATATGGCTCCCACAACATGGGAGGCCCCAGCTACCCCACAACTCCCCTGCGATCCTCACATCTACAAAAACTCGGGATAAAACAGCAATAAAATGCAAACTCATCTCAAACCCATCACCCCTGACACCTATACTCCAGAACACGGACTTTACCCCCGGTATGCACCCTAAAGACTTTGCAGGTTTTGAGGACAATGACTTGGTCCGGTTTCACCAATTTTATGCCAACCAAGATATTATACCTTTCACGGACCTCCTGCAGAACACACCATTCACCACTTTTAATTTTTTTTTCGCT